GATGGCAAATGGTCAAACGCTGGGAATCACATCTTGGCATTGGGTGTCTCCACATTATAGAACACAAACAGATTTGTTCTGTTAAAATGCCATATTTCCCAGATGTGCCTTAGATACTTTCCAATCTTCAACGTGAAAATGGAAGACAAGGTACAGCGATACCATATGAGACGGAAAATGTGCCTTCCAGCCATTGCCTGTGCTTCACTAAAGTGTGCCTGTCCCTGTGGCTTTCAGTGTGAAACATTCACACACATGCCACCACAGAACAAAGTCTCTTTTTATTTTCCAACCTTAAATTCTCTTTGGGATTTGATGCAGTCCATGGCATTCATTTCTCTCCTGGAAAGGTCCATGCTGTGTGTTTAGGCTGTGGCAATCTTCCCCCTGCTTCTGGCATATGCTTTTATTGGTCTTTTAAGTCTGTGACTAGTGTTTTTCTCCTAACCTACTGTGTTTTGATGTTCGGTTATTCTTAATGGTTTTCAAAAGTCCCAGATGCAATTCTCCAAACTCGCGAGCAGGTGTATAAACATAATTATACCAGCCATCTCGACGGAGCTCTTCTGGTGGGAATTCAATAATTGAATAACATGACAAGCCACATCTTTTTTTTAACTGTGTGCAAGAAAAACATTATAAGGACAGATGCTAAATTATAATTGCGGAGAGTTTTCTCTAGCAGGATTGAGTTGATCCCTGTTGATTTCAGCTGGAATCTCTTGTCACTAGGGTATAAAGAACGACGTACAAGTGCAGGAAACCGTCACACCACTTATAGCAGGGTACTCTTTACGGCTCACACCTTCATAATTCAACTTCTGTGTCATCTGACATCATAAAAATAATGATCCCCTAACATGAACATTATGCACATTATTCTTTCAGAATGTCATGATATTATATGAACTACCTCAGTCTTCTTAAATTAGAGGCTTATGATAAGACAAGATACTATGAGCTCATTTCCTGCTGTGGTATACGAAAGTGATACTGTGCTTCTTTTTCTTTCTTTCTTTCTTTCTTTCTTTCTTTCTTTCTTTCTTTCTTTCTTTCTTTCTTTCTTTCTTTCTTTCTTTCTTTCTTTCTTTCTTTCTTTCTTTCTTTCTTTCTTTCTTTCTTTCTTTCTTTCTTTCTTTCTTTCTTTTAAATGAATCCACTTAGCAAAGCCTTGAATCATGCCTTGCTTGAACATAAAATAAAAGTGTCTCAAGAAAAACACAAAATACAGAAACAATTATGAAAAAAAAATATTGATTTGATTTGAATTGATTTTGTTTTCTTATTTTCATGAGACATATGCTTTTTGGGGGTGGAGTGCCATGAAGATGTTTATTTCCTACAAAAAAAAAGAAGAAGAAGGTAAATTCAATTATCCATCCATCCTTCCATGCAAAATGTTGCATTCGTGACAATATGGATAGTTTTGGCTCTGAATATAGATAAGATGAGCTGTGTTTCTTGCATAAACGGCATAGAAAAAAGAAAAAAAAATCTACCATCTGATACATTTCTACTATTGTACATTATATACACTTTCTGCCCTGGTTTGAGTTTACAGTATATATTTCCTGTATACTGTATATATTTCCTCTATACTGTATATATGTTATTGTATGTATTTTGTTTACTTCTCACTTCACCTTTCCCTTATGGGAATATCTAGAAGAAGTGATGGTCTCTTTACAGTGAATAATCCTTGTGCCTTTATTTTGCTGCCACTCCAGAATAAAACAGTATATAGGGAAGATTGCATTGCAATTTCACTGAAATCCATTACTCCCCTATTGAGGTGGGGACCCGTTCCTGGGAAGAGGCAAAAAGGAACTGAGAAATGGAAAATGGGAATCCTCCATGGTGCCTTAAATTAGATTGCCTCTGGAAGGGGTGTGTGGGATGTGCCTCTGTCTGTGTTTTTGAGACTATCACTTTGGTATGGAGTCAGTGATGGTGTTGAAAACATTATCGTCTGTGCACTATTGCTGTGAACAGCAAGCTAACGTGATGGAGAAATATTAGAGTGTCGGGGGGATTGTGTTGGCTAACAGCTCATTTCTCCTACTAAATTATTCAGACTTGAAAAGCTGGGCCTATTCACTTGCTTTTGCATTGGTAATATTTTACATGCAAGTCGTCGGGAGAGCATACATTATTTACTTTGTGTTGGCCCCCAAAGAAATTTGAATGTTTTTTTCTTGCGGGGCTGTCATGTGTGATATTTTTCAACTTTAACTTGTTCACAAGTAGCTTAAACAAAAGCTTGTGTAATGGTACATGACATGTTAGAGGCCAAATTCAGTCACATGTTTTCTGGAAAAGAATGAGCAAATGAGCTTCAAAGAGGAAGCAGAAGCACCATAAAATCAGCATAGAAGTATATTTGTTGAATATTCCAAGTCCTTTAAAGCCATATGCTAGAGTTATGTGACGAACAGACTGCAATTGAATTCATTCTTTGAAATTAATCATAAACTTGTGAACCAGATCAGTCCATTTCATGAATCCGACTGGTTTCTCAAAAATATATCATAATATAGATACTATTCATATATGTACACTACATATACACATTTTAATTTGGGGATTTTATATATGTTATAAACTTGTATCTCCATCTACCCAGAGAATGTACATATGTGAAAGTGATATATCGCCGTATATATTGGTAGCACAAAAGTTATTTTGAAAGAATCAGGCCAGTCTGTTCTTCCAAAATTCACCTTTTGTGTTCCTCTGAAGAAAGAAAGTCATAGTTGTGGTTTGGAGTGACATGCAAGTGAGTAAATGATGACAGAATTGATATTTTTGGATGAATATTTCCTTTAAGGCTTAAATAGCAAATATACGTGTGCATGTAATAGTAAAGAACACTATGTTCCCACAACATAACATGGGGAAGTCGTGGCCTAATGGTTAGAGAGTCGGACTCATAACCCAAAGGTTGTGGCTTCGAGTCTCGTACCGGCAGGGATTGTAGGTGGGGGGGAGTGAATGTACAGCGCTCTCTCCCACCTTCAATACCACGACTGAGGTGCCCTTGAGCAAGGCACCGAACCCCCAATTGCTCCCCGGGCGCCGCAGCATAAATGGCTGCCCACTGCTCCGGGTGTGTGATCACGGTTTGTGTGTGTTCACTGCTGTGTGTGTGCACTTTGGATGGGTAAATGCAGAGCACTAATTCCGAGTATGGGTCACCATACTTGGCCACATGTCACGTCACTGTCACCGTCACTGTCAAAGAGGCTGAATAGGAGAGAGAAATTGGTGAGCATGACATGGGCCACAGGCATATTTTACTCAGCTGAAATAGGCAACGCTCAGGAGAAAAGGAGAGGTGGAAGCAAAAATAGAGATGGCAGGAATAGCAAGACAGAGTTGGTGAGATAAAACAAAGGGTTGGAGGGGAGAGCGAGTTCAAGAAAAGGAATCACAAAGTGATGTGAGTCCTCCAAAAACTCCCCATTAAGCTCTCATCACATTAGAAGCTCAGGAACCAGGTAACAGGAAATGGATTTTGTAGAGTTGACAGAAGAACTGTGGGTCTCTTTCCAGAGTTTTTTTTTTTTTTTTGTATTCAGAGGATTAGATTTGGTTTTGGTTTTAGAGATGCCCCAAAAACCCACCCCCTATATTGCAATTTGAAAATTTCGAACAGCTTATTTATTTTATATAGTATAAAAATAAAGACATTTTTATATGTGTTTACAGGAGCATTATGGAACTTTGGTCTCTTTATCGCCATCTGTGGTTAAAAGATAAAATTGCAAGTTAATTACAGGGTGTTCCCTTTCAGTCAGTCACTCTCGACGTCATGTCGGATGACTGACGAATTGGGATCTCGCTTAGAGAGACCAATCTACTTCGAGTGTAAACTAAATGAGCCAATGCACATTGGCATGCGATTATTGCATCCAGCTGCCGCTGATCACAGCGTGAGTATAAGTAGACAGCAGATGCAGCGCATATTCAGCTTTTCGCTGAGGAGCCGAGCGATCACATCGTTCTGCTCCTGACTACTCTACTGAGAGAAGAATGTTCGTGACTGAATTCCGGACTCTTGCGAATTCTCTCATCATAAACAACAAAACGCAGATGTACGTACAATGCAAGTAAGAGATTCATTTCACAGTGTATACAGCTTCAGTGATTATAATGAGTTTTTTTTTTTTGAGAGTGCTTAAAAACTCGCGATAGATCAATGTTAGTGATAATGTCACTTTCTATATATTATTTATTCGCTGTTTGAATAAACGTGGAAATGAAACGTTATATAATTATCAATTTCTAACGTCAATTGTCAATTGTAATCACGTTAAATACAAATTCAGTCCCATTAAATATATATATATATATATATATTTTTTTTTTTCACTAGCACCTGTTGTTTTGTATGCAAGGAAGAGTATACAAATCTCTCAGCACCTCTGATGTCATTGTGTATTAGCAGCTCCTGCTAGAGAGCATTCCTTGTACTAAAATACTTTCATACTACTTACGTCAGTTAGAAATGTAGGTAGAGTTCATTCAGTCTCTTATCTTTGTTAGGAACATCTCCCTGCCATCTGCATTGAAAGACTGTAAATATCATTACCCTTTCTAAACAAATCAGTGTATTCTCTGGATCAGTTGTCATTGTTATGCCCAGGGGTTGCAGGATGATGTTAGTTTTGCTATCTGTAGAACAAGGCAGAATTGCTCAGCATATGCTCAGCAGATTGTGTTTGTCTTAGCGAGCTTTTCTGCTCATCGCTGAGGATCAGGGAAATATAAATAGCCAGGAAAAGGAGCAAAAAACTCTGAAACACTCTTATGAATTTAATTTGCTGAAATCTGTTCAATCAGTTCGGCTGAGATCTGCAAATTCCAATCTAGATTCATTTTGCTGGGGAATGTACTCATTTTGGCCAGGTCATGAATGGAGCATTGATATCCACACACATACAAACAAGAAACGAAATGCATTCTGAATACCGTATTGAGAATTTTGCTTCTATTTGCAGATCAACCGATTATGGCAGCACTTATGAGAGGCTGAATGATAAAGTGGGAGTCAAGACTGTTTTGAGTTACCTCTACGTCTGCCCCACCAACAAGAGAAAGGTAAGATGCCTACAGCCTCTTATTCTCTGTTTTATTTCCTTTGAGAGACTCCATGTTCCCCTACTTCAAATAAAGCCAGTTATTTTGAATTATTTCTTTATTTTTCTGCTTTCCAGCAGCCTATAAAAAGATACTAAAAGGCATTAAAGGAGTGACTAACCTGGGCTGCGTTTCCCAAAAGCATCGTAAGCTAAAGTTGATCGTAGCTCCACTGGTTTCAATGGGTGTACGATGTACTTAAGCTTACGATGCTTTTGGGAAACACAGCCCAGAACAACCTGGAGCAATTCTGCTTAGAATAATGGTCCAAAATCACACCTAAAAAGTGTAGAAAGCTGATGCATATTATATTATATTATATTATAT